AGCTGAAAGATCACTGTGGAAAAAGAAAGGCAGTGATCTTACGGTCTGTGCTTTGCACCATAACGCGTCCTCTTGGAAGTGCCTATTAAAAAAAAAAAAAAAAAAAAAAAAAACTTTTCAAATCTGGTAAAGAATTTCGATGTGACCCGGAGGCAAAAGTTGTTCAGTTTATTTTTCTGCATAACATTTTTTTTTTTCCGATTTTTTTGAGTTTTTTTTTTTCTTCTTGGCCGTTGGCGGGGTCCTTGCACGGCCGGGCCGCCCGGTCAAACTAGAAGACCAGGGCGGCCCGGCTGCGAGCCCAGATCTGCAAGATATTCTTCATCCATATATTATCTGTCATCTAATCTTCGCGGGGGGGCGGGGGGGGGAAGGGTAGTTAATAGTTATGGATCTATGCTCAGACATCCATATAAGCTAGGAGCCTGGGACATTAACTCATTTTGGCAAGATATTTTATCATTTTTCATCTATATATCTATCATCTAATATTCACGACAAAAAAAAAAAAAAAAAATCCAACCTACTCTAGTAGCTATGGATCCATACTTTCTGGCCCTCAGGCCCATCCCTGAAAACCACATGGAATCGGACCGTCACCCTTGGCCACAAGAGCTGAGTCTCTATAACTCTCTAATCAAATCTTTTTTTTTTTTTCTAATTGAAAAAAATATCTTCAGGCCCATCTGCCGTCGAGCACATCCCCTGGGGCGGTGCATTACACATCATTGGCAAGGCTCCCGTCTTTTTTTTCTTTTTTCTTTTTTCTTTTTTTTAAGGCTCCAATCTATTCATGAAGAACAGCATGTTCTGTGAATTTTTCTTAAAAAAAAAAAAAAAAAAAAAAAAAAAAAAAAAAAAGGAGGACAACTTCTCGATTTACGCGTGTCATCCTTGCGCAGGGGCGATGCTAATCACACATTCTCTGTATCGTTCCAATTTTAACGGATGTCCCTAAGGACGCAGGGTGCTGTGAATCTAATGTAATAAGTACTAGTAACAGTAATAGTACTATAAATTCTATAATACTACTAATACACTTTTTTTTTCCCCCTTCAACAATTTGGACCATTTCTCTATTTATGCATGTCATCCTTGCGCACGCAGGGGCCATTTGCTAATCTTCATTCTCTGTATTGTTTCGATTTCAACGGATATCCCAAACGACAATCTTTTTTTCTTTTTCTTTTTCTTTTTTTTTTTTTTTAACCTGCTCCACTAAGTTGGGGGTGTGATATGAGCAGCCTCCCCTCCCGTCTTCCCCCGAACATAACGCACCCCAATCTTGACCGTACCGGACCCGAAAGCTATCTTGCATACATTCGTATTGAGGGTGTTTTTTT